CCACAAATCTATGATTGATTAATCACTGAACAATCTTGACTGAATCCTATCGATCATGTTATAATTTGGCCACAACGTTAGATGACTCGATATCGTGGATACTAAGCTTTGGTATTAAATGGCTGGAGGTACTCGACAAGAAATCATGAGTGATCAAGATGTTATGTTTATAGCAACCGTCCTACAATTAAGCTTACTTATAGTTAATTTTGTCAAGACCTTCAATCAACTTATTTAACAGACAGTGTTATTCGAACAGTAACAATTTTTCTATATCTTTGTATTGTTATGATCACCACCACGTTTATGTAAACGTGTATGCTTGAACCTTATCAATTTTCTTGCCGCGTTTTGCCTTACTTCGCTTCACCTCGATTCGATTTGACTATAAATTTGTCTCTGTATTCGCTCGCATACATATATTAGCCTCTCTGTTCCAATATGCTCGAGGTGCTTATAAGTTGTTTATTGGTGCTACCCAATAATAAACTAAGATCGCTACTTCTTATTGCTTTCTGAATTCATGCACAGTTGGGATTTACTTAATAATGGTTATCAAGGTGATTGATAAACGAAGAAATTATCTCGAAGCCAAACTACCATATATTAATCGATTCTCTTCAGGATTATGTACCAGAAATCTTGAAAGAATTAATTCTTCTTGGCTCCCAAATGCCCTGGTATGGCCGAGAGTGGGGAGAGTCAGCTCTTCCCCTCCAGATGCTCTCACATAGCCACGTTTATACAACCACTGTCAGGGAAGACCTACTGATTTACGAAATTTAGAGCACGAAAAGCAAATGTCCGGCGTTTTAAACTGGGTTGATGGATATAGACGATCTACCTAGGGGAGTTGGAAAACTCTCATTCTAAACCATTGGTGTACATGGGCTCCAGTATCCTGAAGGAATAAATGGAGTATGAACCAATTATTGGTGACCGGCTACCATGAGACTGCATCTCCTGATGTTGCTCTACTGTCTTGTGGATCAGATCTTTAAGTCGAAGTCTTCGGGTATGACCTCCTAAGAAAACCATCTGCTTCAATTTGGACACAGCCCTCACACAAATCGAATGATTTATGTGGAGCATATGTATTTGGTGCCTCATAATACTAATGTTTATGTGTTTAAATAAATAAATTCTTTTTATAAGATCTTGTAGTGTCGGTTATTATGTTAAGCCCATATATCTTATTTCTAGCTTTCGGACAGTCCATTCTATTCATTCTACTTGAATCACATTCTGACTTTGTTATCTATTCGCTTATCAATCTTGACTGTTTTTTATGAGCGCATAGGTGTGTGTACATTTCTTATCCCATTGCTCATCACACATGTCTGTAACTTACTTTTGTGTAACTATAAATATTGATTAACGCTTGGTTAAATGAGAGTTGGATTACCCGCAATCTCCACTGCGCGTCGTTTTGCTTCGTTCTATCCCATTCGCTTTATATACAAAACATATGTATTCACAAGACCATTCTCGTTATTTGACTTATTTAATTCCGTTATTGACTAACGCGATTTAAGTCGATGACTATATACGAGGAAAGGCGATAACAGACATTCATACGATCTAATTGGAGTCAGATCTCGGGCCACTAAAATCTTATTATTTATTCTATTAATTTCAATCCTTATAGATCAAAATGTTTTCACATTAGTCAAGATTTTAGTTTATTAAATGTAACATAGTCGCACTATATATAAATTTAACAATTTATATCATTATCTAAATTACATGTAAAAGGTTCATATAAATCTCACTTACTTACTTACGCCTGTTACTCCTAATGGAACATAGGCCACTGACCAGTATTCTCCAACTCACTCTGTCCTGGGCCTTCTTTTCTAGTTCCATCCATTTCTTGTTCATTTGTCTCATGTCTATCTTTATTTCCCGGCGTAATGTGTTCTTTGGTCTTCCTCTTCTCCTCCTTTTGCCTTCAGGATTCCATGTGAGGGCTTGTCTTGTGACGCAGTTGGGTGCTTTCCTCAATGTGTGTCTTATCCACTTCCAGCACTTCTTCCTGATTTCTTTCTCCGATGGGATCTGGTTTGTTTTTTTCCCACAGTTGGTTGTTGCTAATAGTGTCCGGCCAACGGATCCGAAGTATTTTGCATAGACAGCTGTTAATAAACACCTGTATTTTCTGGATGATGGCTTTCGTAGTTCTCCGAGTTTCCACCCCATACAGTAGAACTGTCTTGACATTTGTATTGAAAATCCTGACCTTGGTGTTGGTTGACAAACAGTTGTTTTGAGTTCCAGATGTATTTCAATTGTAAATATACTGCTCTTGCTTTACCAATTCGCGCTTTCACATCTGCATCATAATATAAATTTATTTACTCTTTATTATACATATATACATAGAATGGCTTCAGGGTATCTCAAGTATTCAGGCTTTAATAAGGAACAATGAACTTTCACTATATCCAATAATAATAATAATAATAATAATAATAATAATAATAATAATAATAATACTTCATAGGATAACACCAATAAATAAATAAATCGATAATGTACTTTAATCAATAATTTATATCTAATTCTTATATATATGTGTTACTAACCCGTTTTAATAACTTGGTTGTATTAAACTAACACTTGAATACCATCTAAAGTCATTTAAAGACTTAAATTGAGTTACTATACACAATGAATAAATATTTATAGATTATAGTTTAACTGTTATGAATGAATTAGAAATTTTATTTGTTTTTTTTTTCTTCATTGTTTTAATAAATCAATAACACTTGAATGACCGCTTCATTTAAATGGTACATTATTGTATAGTGAATGACTAGAGTTCATTTCTTAACTTTAAAGAACAATAATAATCATAGCTCTATTTATTATTATAATCAAAAGGGGGTGGTGGTAGCTTTGTGGAGATTTTAGTAATTTATTAATTAAATTCATAAGTTGATTAAAACTAGATCACCATGGAAAACGTGGAAGCATTGAACCTTTGGGACTCTTCAGTAGTGCGTATCCACGATCCTGGGTCTGTGATGAGATAGTAACTCACCAAAGACAATGATGGACAGTGGTGCGATTTCATGGATTAGTTAAAGTTAGACATCATTGAATATCAACTCAGTGTGTTGTGACTTTATGACCCGCTAATTATCACGTAATCTATTGGCTAATCAAAATATGAATTATTCGCTCTTATACTGTACTAAACCAATGACGTTCGACCGGTTTGATCACCCTAGCGTCCTATTGGTCCGTTGCTCGCCTAGCCCATCCACTTGAGTCCAGAATGCCAACAACAGCCTCCATTATGCGAATCGAATCGAATCGAATCATTTATTTCAGACATACTTGGTTTATAAATCAACCAACCATAAAATAGGAAATAACATTCATATACAATAAAGCTAAAAAGTGTTTGTGAACGTGAGAGGCAGTAGTCAATAAACTGAACATAACTTAAGAATAGTAAATCGTACAACAATAATATATAGGTCAAAATGAAGCTTATAACAAGGGGAATATAGATATACATAATCTAGTTACTGAATATTTATACCATGAGAATATATAAATAATATTAGTCCATTAATAAATCTCAGACGTTACTCGTAATGTGATCTTCACTAGGATATAATGCAGTGGTCTACATTGTTAAGCGTTTACGCGCGAGAGCGATAGGTTCTAGGTTTGAATCCCGCGAAGGGGGATTGTGGATACGCACTACCACAGAGAAGTCGCATACTAGGACAAAACAGTCGTCTAGTGCTTTCAGGTTTCATAAATTTTATTTTATTAACGTAGAGTGTCATAGAAACAGTCGTTTAACCGTATAAGTTTCTTTTCAACATATAATCAAATGATAACTATTCTATCAATATTATTTCTATAGTTAAAATATTTCATTAATTTTAAATGGTGAAAATTCACTGTTACCTCAAATGTCACAATTATTTTCGTTTGTTTTAAGTACTAAATATTAAATACCATGTGAGTACACATATAAGTTAGGAGCTAGGGGTTGCCAGACTAAAACATGGCACAAGTCCATGAAATCACTGACAAGTGAACTGAGCCATGTTGGTAGGTGTAAACTACCTGATTGGGGACCACGAGATAATAGCAACCGATGGTTAGAAACCTTCAATGACATGGCTCGAAATCGTTTGCAATGGAGCAGGTGCATACACTCTTTGTGTTCTCCCAAATTTTAACCTCCTGATCCCTTCTTGTCTCTTTTTTCTCTTCTCAAATTTATTTCACTGGATTATACTCTTTAAATAACATCTCCGAACCCTAATCTTCCCGATTACTGCTTATACTCTTACTACCTCTACCACTGTGGGATTTGAATGGACAACTGCATCTCTGTGCTGATGTAGTATGACAACTCGAACTGATGTACGTACGTACGAAGTTCTACGTTGTTACTGACTGACTGACATAGTTAGGAATCATATTTGTATTCAACTTAATCTAATTTGTACAGCTGGAAAATAGATAGACGAGGAGATATTCAAGAAGGTCATTTGAACTACATGTTGACAAATTAGTTTACACGATAATAACACACATGTTATATAAAACTGCTCTTCCTTAATAAGCAAAAGTGACGGTTAGCAGTGGGGTACAGGACGCGCGTTTCGTCCTATTTGGGACTCATCATCTAGATGTACCTGCATCTCAGAATGAATGTTTACTCCGGCACTCGAACCCAGTACCGTTCGTTTCAAACGCCATCAAGTTATCAACTCAAGTACTGAGTCCTGTTAACCATCTGCTTGTGCGATGGGATGAAGTTTAATTCACTTGATATTGTTTGCTTGTAGGACAAAGCGCACATCCTGGATTCCACTGCTAGCCATTATCTATCTTTGCTTATAAAGCTTATGACTTAAGTCAATATTGAGACAGTTCCAACAGGATGCACAAATATTAATCGTTTGAAGATGCTGTTTTTAAATTTAAAGGAAAAAACCTTACTGATTTGTAATTTCTATTTGATTTACATGTTGAATAATAAAACAAACTATCATGGTGAGACTGTAATTTGTGGACGACTTTTGAGTGACATCAAAGTGACTTTGAGAGTGTTTACCTGCTTAATAGAGCTAAATGAAGGTTATAAACCAGGTTGAGGAATAAAGATAATGATTTACAGTTGATGGTTAAGGGTTAAGCTTTAGATTTATGGTTTCCATCACAAACTGACATCAGATAAAGTGACAAGACGCTTTTTGGATGAACGGGTGAGTGAATTTCACGCCAAAATCTAAGACCTGTTATCTTAAATTTGATTGGTTCGTCCATAAATTATAGTCTTACTACTATCATGCTCGAAATCATTCACAGTTATAGATTGATTTACTGTCATTATGTAATATGATAGAAATCAAATAACAGCGAATCAATTTATGTAGATAAATCGATTCATTTCATGAAGAGCTAATTGGAAGCCAATTACTTATCTTGACCATTATGTAATCTGGATTCGAATCTGTAAATATGAGCTTTTTCTTTATCTCTAATGAACATAAAAAGGAATAGAATATGGGTTTATGATATTCTATTATTAACTTACTTAACGGGCAAACTTATTCGAACAGTAACAATTAGTCTATTTGTTAGGTCCCGATAAGCATAATGAATGGGAACTTTGGGATCCGTTTATTGACCAATACTAAACTTATACTTTTATCGTGTAATTGTTAAATAACTAAACTATTCAAATTCGTGTTCCTTAGATCATAAACTTTATTTTGACCTATGAACCATTATTATATGATTTACCATTCTTGAATTATGCCCTGTCTATTGTTAGTCACTGCTTCCCACATTCACAGCCACATTTGGCCAAATCTTGTACAAATGTTGTTTCTTATTTTATGGTAGTCTGTTTGATTGGTATATAAACCCCGTATGTTTGAAATAAATGATTTATATTACAGAGGCTGAGATTGGTGTTCTGAACTCAACTGGCTGGGCTCGATAAGAAGCGAGACCAATCAGGACTGTAGACTATTCATACGGGTTTACGCGTCCTTGGTCCAATCGATAATTCGCTGCTTCTGATTGACGGCTTTGGGCCATAACACTATTTGTTTGTACCATTATGATCACTATCATATCTGCATAAATGTGTACGCTTGATCACATGTGACATCCTACGTACATATCTTTCTCTAGCTTAAATGCTGATCGCTTAAATATCACTAGACGTATCATTCTCTTTCCCATGTATATATGTACTCGAATCCTAAGATTAGCTTTCGCATTGCCTTACTATGCCCTTATGCGATTTAACTATAAATTTTCCACTATATTCGCTCACACATATACACATTTGCGTTTCTGCCTTAAGTTTGCTTGATGCGTTTATAGCTTTGTTTCTCCGTGCTATTCTCTCACAAACTGTAGTCTCCGCTTCTTATTAACTTCCAATATCAAAAATCGTTGAGAGTTACATAATAACAGTTACATAGGTGATTGACTAATGAAGCAAAGTCACTACAACATATCCAAATGTTCTGTATCTATTGAATTAAAGCTGTTCCGAAGTTTCCACATTTTTAAATGAACTAGAGTAGTCATATCAGTAGTATATGATGATTAGTTAGTGTGATATTCTATAGATAATCTTTATTAATCTACATTTTAGCAAATTCTTCGACTTCTATTTCTACAAATCAAAGAAAACAATCGCAACTTAATGGAAAAACAGGATCTGAAAGAAAATTCAAAATTGGTGAAATATTAAACTCATGTAAACAATTTCGATCTTATCCAGTTACTACACAATTACCTCTTGATTCATCAAATTTAACATCTTCACAATCATCTTCATTATCACCATCGGTTTATCCAATTGCTGGAATTGTTGCTAAATCAGTGAATCCACGTAATCCAACTCAGCCTCCATTACCTTCAATACAAAATAGAAAAACATTCAAAGTAATAATTGATCGCAGAATATTTTTTGGGTTTAAATTACGAAATGATCTTAGCTAGACCAACATTAAAAACGTGGAAGCATTGGACGATTGTTTCGTTCTACTCTGGGATACGTTAGAAATACTCATTCACTATTCTAGATGTGGGAATCTAACTTAATGCCTTCGATCTTACGAGATGATACAACCTCAAGATCACTTAACCAGAAGTAATTAAAGTTAAGCATTACCACTATTAGATGCTGCCCCAGAAATCTGCAGGTTAAATATTCTTTTGGAAGGCCGAGGGTCCTGAGTTTGACCTCTGTGTGAAGAATTGTGGATGCGCGCTGTTGAGGAGTTCCATACTAGAACAAAACGGCCGTCCAGTACTTCCAAGTTTTCAATGGTGCTCTAACTAATATCATTTCTTAATTTAAATAATCATAATTTTTCTTAGTTATGACATTGAATTCTTCGAATTATTGAACAGAATATGATATGGACAACTGAAAGAGATTGGTAGATTTTAAATGTCATAGTTTACGTCATTAGCTAACCTTAATTCGACTGTTTTGTCCGAGTATGGAACATACGTTATGTTGATCAATCAAGTTCCAGTATAATCACTAGCCTAAGTGATTTAACACCGTGTGAACTATGTTCAGATGTTAAGTGATTAAAGTTAATCAGTGACAAACCCTAAACTTATAGAAAGTAATTCGTGATTCAACAAGCTCAAACTGTAAGGCTAACTGGGGTGGAGAGTATCAATTCCCTCAATAATATAAGTGTATCTTGTTAATAAATACCAATGAGTATGAAATCTGAATTGAGCAAGGTTACTTGTGAACTGCCATTAAGTGCCCAATGCAATAATAAACCAGAAAAGTGTTTCACTTTTCGTTGTAAAATTGTAAAATTATCTATATCTTTAAGTTAAATAGTAGGAAAGTGAAGATGAAAGGCTATTAGTAAATAAGTCTAAGCACATCATTGTTTTATTAAATGATTTTAAAGGGGGAATTAGCGTTAGTGATTAAGATAAATTAAACTGATAAAGTAAACAAGATAAAAAACCCATGAGAAACAAGCAAATCAATATGTCGGAAGGGTTTTGCGAATATTATAGTAATTTCAATGGTTGAGATCACGAGTCAATTGAAGGTAGACCACCATGGAAAACCCGGGAGGGGGGGGGTTGTAGAGATTGTAATTTCAATATTTCTGATCATGAGTCAATTGAAACTAAACTGATAGTTCCTGCGTTCGAATCTTGCGAGGCATGGTCGTGGATGCGCACTGTTGAGAAGTCTCACAATAGAACGAAACGGCTGTCCAGTGCTTCAAGGTTTTCCATGGTGGTCTAGCTTCAACTGACTCATGACCTCAACCATTGAAAACATCAATGTGTGTTTTGTTTACAAATCGAAGTAATAATGCTTGTTAGCAAAAGTACCTTAGCTGGATATTTTGTGTCAAATTGAGAATAAATTTGACAGAAGTATTTTTGCAACAAGAATATCATAATATGATTTCTGTCATATGATTTATACCTTAATTAGCCAACTGTCGAAGAGTGGATAGTACCGGACAGCTGTTTAATCCTATTATAGAGCTTCTGATTGACAGTACACAATCATGAACCTATCATGGAGGATAGAACTCAGAACATTCAAATCCTACAGAAAAAACCTAATCTTTATTTTATTGGTCTAGAATTCAATGGTTAACATTTTTCATTTCAACTAATTAATTGTATTTCATGACCTTCTAATCCCATTAGTGTTTACATGCCTTACATTTACAAATGAACAAATATGTTGTATCGGAAGGGGTTTTGTAGAGATTGTAGTAGTTTCAAAAGTTGAGATCATGAGTCATTTGAAGCTAGACCACCATGGAAAACCTGAAAGCACTGGACTGCCGTTTCGTCCTATTGTGGGACTCCTCCGCAGTGCTCTTCCATGCCCCCGACGGGCAGGATTCGAGCTCAGAACCTGTCACTCTCGCGCCAGGCGCTTAACCAACTAGACCACTGGTCCTAAACAACAGTGTGAAGATATAAGTAAAACAACACCAAATGAATTTAAACTTCATCCCGTTGCACAAGCAGATGGCTATCAGGACTCAGTAGCTAAGTGGATAACGCGATGTTGTAGATATTTAAGATTTGTCAACTATTAGCGATTATCACTATCAACAGATTCTTCAAAAGGAAATGATCTTGGAGTCAAAAATAACAGTTTCGGGTTTGATAATGAAAATGTACTAATTGTAAGGACATTACACTTCAATTGCCATAGATAATTATATTCAAAGGGATGTCGTTTTTTTATTTCAGAAATTTCATCTACTTATTAGTAGTATAATAACATTCATTGAATTTTTCAGGAATGATACAATCCTCGGATTATCTTTCTGGAGCTTATTATTATTATTATTATTATCATATACACAATTATTAAACACCAGATTTGTTTATATACACACATTGATGTATATTTCTTACAAGAGATGATTGAAACCTATTTTGATAGAATGAAAACTAAAGATTTAAACTGTTGATTACATAATTGTATTGTACTATTCTGACAAACGGAAAAGAAATACAGCTCAATACTCAAATACATTTTGTTTTTGTTTTTTTACGATCTTCTAAGATACAGTTTTAGACTTCTAGAATTCATGTCATCTCTACCACTATTACTACCACTACTACTACTGCTATACACTTTCTTGAAGTAGTATGGTACCCTTTTCGAAATTAGACAGAAAATGTGTTAAAGTTATTGGATTTAAATATATAACGTGTTAAATTCACTTGGTATTGTCTTAGTTGTATCTTCCCATTGTTATTAAGGACTGCAATTGATTATTCTGATATTGGCATATGTGCATTCTGCGCGGATTGCCTCGATATTGCCTTAAGTCACAATCTTTTGAAGCAAAGATTGACAAATGCCAGCAGTGAAATCCAGGACTCATATGTGTTAACAAGAGACTGATCGATTGCAGTCTTAAATAACAATGTGAAGATATAAGTAAAACAACACCAAATGAATTTAAACTTCATCCCGTTGCACAAGCAGATGGCTATCAGGACTCAGTAGCTAAGCGGATAACGCGATGGCGTTCGAAGCGAACAATATTGTGTTCGATTTCCGGAGTGACACATTAACTCTGAGTTGCAGGTACATTCAGCCGACGAATTGTGCAAGATAACACTGACATCTCAATGGCTTATAAAGAACAAATACAAACTAATAAAAGGCATTGAAAAACTGAGAGACACAAACATATAAGATACCAATGCTCACAAGCCACCTCAAATAGTCAAACAGTAAGTAAGGAATTCTAAACAAAGCATCGTATTACAGGATGTTGACTATGTACTTACACAAGATGTCACAAGACATGTCCTTGTTCAGTTCTAAAGAACAACTGTATGCATACCTATCATTCGTATACATTATAACACCATGTAACAATTAAATCTTACCACTCACTCGCGTCTTCTCAACTGACTAGTGCTTTTGGACTAACGATAAGAAGTGTATACTTCAACAGAATAGGAACACAGAACATCACACCTATCAATTATTGCTGGATGTTTTTTAAGTCGCAAAAATAAACTTAATTAGTTATATATGTGTATTCTCAAGTGTAAACTATGATAATTCGGTACTTCAGTTTTATGTTTCATTGAAAAATTGATTTTGTTTTGTCAGTACCAAATCACAAATCAAGTGAACAATTTTAAAAAAGGCATTGTTTGTTTAAATCTTCCCATTGGTATTTAGGACTTCAAACTGGATCAATCTCTTGTTGGCATATGTACAATCTGTATAGACTGCTTCAATATTGTCTTAAGTCACAAGCTTTATGAATAAATATGGATGGTGGCTAGCAGTGGAACCCAGCATGTAGGTTTCGTCCCTTTTGGGACTCATCAGCTGAGTGTATCTGTATCCCCAAATTGAAATCTATTTCGGTACATACATCTGACGAGTCCTAAATAGGACGAAACACACATCCTGGATTCTAGTGTCAGCTACCATCCATCTTTGCTTATAAATTTACTTTATTTTTAAAATGCTAAAATGATTCCTATGAATGCTACTTTGATCTTTGATCTTAATTGAACTATGTTTTTAAGGGTTGAATGAATATCACTGAATGGAGTTTAATTAGTTTTCATATTGAACATTTTAAAGTAATTGGTATATAACTCTGAATATCCATGGAATTTGGAGCATAACACTAAGAATTAAACATTTTAGAGGGTATGGATTCAGTGTCATATTAATTGTTGATCCAATAAACTATATTGATGTTAAGTTATATTTACGAACTCACCGGTTAAACCATTTCATCTAGATTCGATGATACTTATGCTTTCTTTAGAAATAACCATTTGATAAGACTTCTCTAACCTATGATTAGAGAAACTTGTGTATATTTGCGTAGATGTTTAGATTGGATCGATTGAAGTTAAACAATAACACCGCTGAATACCAGCTTCGTGGCCTAGAAGTTAAAAGTTTGTGCACAAGACCGAATGTTCTGGGTTCAAGTTCAGCTTGCGGGATCGTGAATGCCCACTGCTGAGGAGTCCCATACTAGGACAAAGCGGTTGTTCAGTGATGCCAGGTTTCCAATGGTGATCTGGATTAAATCAATTCATGAATTCAACTATTAAAATTACTACAATCTTCACAAATCTCCATTCTGATAATTAATGAAATAGTTAAGAACAATATCAGATAGTTCGTAAGAGGCTTGTATTTATTCAGATTATTGGTGTAACTGGTTCTTAAGGCGAAATGTAATATAAAACGGAAAGCAAGTTCAACTCTACATTGGCCAAAGTAATATCTTTGTTGTATAGCTGATAGCCCAACATTAACTTCAAAATGTGAACAGACTTAGCTCAGGACTTCTTGCAGAAGTAGTGATGTACAGACTAGAAGCCTCGATCTTAGCAGTAATTAGGCCGAAAATGTGTATTGGTTATGTGGACGGCACACTTATTATCGCCAAAAAACGAGATGCAAAACATTTACAATTTGACCAGAAACATCTTCGATGACATGAAATTCACAATCAAAAAGGAGACGAACAACAAACTGCCATTCTAAGGTGTGCTAAGTACCAGAACCGACACAAGAAATCTGGAGACTCAAATATATCGGAAGTCGACTTACACAAATCAAATTCTCACTTACAGTAGCAACAACCCAAGAACTCACAAAAACCACTGCACTTGAACTTTATTGAAGTGGCTGAGGATACATTGCAGCACTTTTAAAGCGCGGAAAAATTGAGAAAATTGTCTAAAGACTATTCTTCAGATGAACAGCTACCGACACAACTTCATCCAAAAACATCAACTCAAGTCAACCGCAGAAACGAAATCAAGTAGTGGGACCAACAAACAGATCATCATACCATATAAAATGCATATCAGAAATTACAACAAGATTATTGGAACCGTTCGGAATAGGTACAGCACATAAACCAACAAAATCATTTCAATCAATCCTATACAATTCAAAGGAAGAAGTTAAAAAGAAGAAAAGTTAAACACTACCTACAAAATAAACTGTTCCAACTGCAAAAAACACCACATCGGACAAAGTGGATGCCTTCTTCATTTTCGCCTACATGAACACCACTTAGTAGTCAAACGCCAGGATATATCCTTTGTTATATCAATGCACCTGGACAACTGTGGAAATACATTCAATTGGGAAGATATTGAGATATCTGATATAGAAAATTTCAAAAAAAATATCAGAGAATTTTTAGAAAATCGGCACTTAGGTTAATCAGCAACCGACAAACACCTTTAAATCGATCCAACTTATCAACCAATCAGAAAGATCATGGACAAATATAGAATCGAGAATCAGATCAATGAAAGATACAATCAAAATAATAAAGTAAACGATGACAGGTTAAAGAGCAACAACAACCAATCAAGATTGAGATCCATTCGACAAACTGTGAGTCATATGTGGAGAAAATCGAACACTTGACTTCTACTTGAATGATGTGCTAATGATATCGTTCTGAAGAACGATACAAGCTCCATGGTCAAACCATCCAGCTCAGAGAACGAAACTCCACTAAAAACCATCCACATGAGTTACAAATCTTCTTCATCATCTCAAGACCTAACTCAACAGATTTATGGGTATCGTTACCAGTGGTGGTAAACAAGAATATAAATAGAGGAAATCAAATACATTAATGGAAAAAATCACAGTTATTCGGTAAAATGTAAATACTATACGTTCAGTACTTCATTTGCAAAATGTCCAATTCTTGTCTCGGACTTTGTTGCTCCTTCATCTCCATACCAATTAATCTCTGTCCCCATTCTCTTTACTTCGATCTTCTCAACCTTCTGCTACCAGACACTACACTTTCTATTGGCGTTACATACTACTTATATCTCTCGACATAAGTAGCACACATCACATTATTAATAACACAAATTTCCTATTCACGGAATCAAATTATTTATTTGTATTTACTTATTTAAACACATACCCATTAATAAATAGAAACACTTAAGTAAATATATTCTATAAAAGAAGAAGAAAGGAGATTGTGGAGAGATAAAGGAAGGAAGGTGAGTATAATAGGGAAAAACAAAATGAATAAAAACAGTTGAATAAAAGTGGTAAATGATGAGAGATGTAATTCAGTTAAGAAAAAAATACAACCAGAAAGAACGTTATCAGTTAAAGAAGTTTTTCACAGATGTATGATGAAAATAGAAGAAAGTTACACTTGGTTCGCTACATTGTCTTCTATTCTGAGTCATGTCTGAAAACGCTTGAATAGATTAGGTTACGTTATTTCTAAAACCTCAATCAAGGAGTTGTGAAGAACCAACAAATACGGGTTCTGTACAGCTGTCTTTTATACAGTGACCATTTTTCCACTTTTTCCACTCGATCTCAGTGTCTGAAAATAATGAACAATATGGAATTCATCGGGACGATATTTATAGGAAATGTTCAAATCATCAAAGTCAGTGTTAGAATATGATGACACTAAACGAATTAATGTCACTGTACCCGAGCGCGTGGGTTGCTGAACCTTCAGCATTTAAACATCTACTTAGATAAATGAACTTCTTGACTACTTCTAATTACCCACCATCAAGATTGATTAAAGGTACAGGGTTCTCACAGTCTTGTGAAAGTACCTTAAGCCTAGAAAGTGAAGATCAACTACTTGAGTGAGGAGATCAAAAATGTGAAGAAAGCTTTATTGACCAAAGCTGAATCAAAAATATGTATCCACCCATTCATAAATATATATCCTTCTTCCCGAGAAAATAAAACCACATTATCAATCAATGATTTGCCTTTCTTTTGAAAATG